TGAACAATACTCTTTTCTTTTGCTGTCCAACCTCTCCCAGGATGTGTTTTGGCAAAAATAAGAATACATCTGGGTTTGTATTGTGAAACTTTTCTTTGATCTTACTCAGCATGGCCAAGGCATGTAACCACTCAAATTATGGTAATAAAGACTGCACTTTTTTGTCATTTTTAAATATGCTTTTCTGTGGCAGCTACTGATCAGAGTTCATTGAACTGCAGAGTGCCTATGCATACAATTCTATTGTTTCTTATTTTCACTGGACTATATCAAAGTGAATATTTAGTAACCATCACAACTATGTGTTTTTTTCTGAAAGTATTTAAGAGGTACGAAGTGTTATAAGTCCTGTAGTCTCAGTCTACTGCATTGTCTGTCTACCAACACCTATTGTTGGCTTCAGAAAAATACTGTCAGGTGCTGCTAGCCAGGCTGGGCCTTAGCCTGCCTCTGCAGTGCCTGTCAGGAATCATTAGCTACTGATCTCTTTGACTAATGGTCCAGTTGATTGTCTGATTCATGTTCAAGATCTGTAAATGAGGCAGAAGCATCTTTCCTGCTCACCAGCTGTGAAATGGCTAAACACAGCTAGATTTGTAGAAATCAAAATGAATGTATTTCCAATAAAGTTTGGCAACAATATCAAATCTAAAGCTGAAAGCAGAACTATGCTTTTGTGTTTTTTAAAGTTACAGTATTATAAATCAGTGTTATCTCATCATGTGCTTGTCAGAGAAATGTATTTTACCAAAACAGTGAAATGCTGGTAGTAGCATTAATCTTGTGTTGAGTTGGATAGATGTTCTTTATTCAACATAAATTCATACTTTCAATATTTTCGCTTTTGTCCATTATCTCTAGATGTACCAGTGTTCAGCAGAGTCTCTGTGCTTTTGTCTGAGTCCTGCGTACACTAATGGGGTGTGTGTGTATGTTTTTGTGTACATATAAAAGAATTACAGGTGTGACAACAATAAAAAATAAAGGATGGGATTTTGGATGGAGGTGGTTCTTGGGGTAGGAGCTTCTGTATCTGTTTTATATTAATGGAATAAGCCCTGGAGGGTCAGCCTGGCATAATGCCGAGGTAACTTAGAAGTAAATCTGGGCCTGAGAGTTCACTAAAATTTTTCTTGGAAAAGAAGGTTAATATGAAATACACCACTAGCTAGAGAATTAGTGTGAGATCTATACAACAAACAGGCTCTAGTTTGTGGATTTAAGCAAAGCTTAATACTTCATTTTTACACTGTAGTTGTAGATATAACAGACTTGCAAAGACACTGAAAGAAAGAGAGTTGATTTTTTGAATGGATCCTCCCACAGGAGTTATCCTGTGGTCTGTTATGTGGAAGACAAAGCTGAATTCCAGCTTCAACTTCTACCTTCCCACATCCTACACAAAGGAGGAAAGTGATTGAACCCTACTGTTTATTTCTCTATTAGACTTTGACTTTTATGTTATTTGGATTTTTTAAGCTAGTGTTTCCACAAACCCACAGAAGTAAAAATTTTGAGATAGTCAATGTGCTTAGTCACATTGATCCAAAAACAAATCTGTGACCAGAATCAGTGTAGTTTTTATAATTGTTATGTTGTTAAACTTAGGTTACATTTTTATATAGAGGTAGAAAGAACTGCACATTATTCTAATCTGTTCAACCTCATATACAAAAATCTTTTCCCACTAGTTGCTAGGAGTATCAAACTGTCTTTGAAACAATGTGGAAATTTTATAATTTTATAATGGAGTCTAGCATGATCAAGATAAATCTGTAACATCTTCCTTCCTCAGAATTCTTTGTACATGGTTAATTCTAAAAAACAAACAAATAAAACAAAATATAAAGGAAAAAAACAGACATTTTACCTCTTTAGCAACTCTAAATATCTGGAAACTTAGTCTAACTTTTGAAAAGGAAATATAGCTAAATGTGTTTAATACCCAATCTGGTTTTAATATACATTACCAGTACAGATTCTTACAGAGTCCCATTCAGTATCTATTAACATATTGTTGTATATTTTTATTAATGAATATATGAATTAATTAATAATTACAAAGTAAATTACCAATATGACATTTTCAAACACAATATTTGCTATAAAACAATGCAGCAGAAGCATCTTACCTTAATAAGATGGATTTTCTTTTGTTATCTGAATTTTTCCCATCCAGTAAAACTGCACATTTGTGTAGGAGTTTTCAACAGTAATTATTAATTATTCCACCTCTTCCTTGGACATCATTTTTCTCTACTCAGAATGGCCAGTATGTGTATATATATAAAAAATACCATTTTCTGGTTATGCTTCTGTCTAAAGGTAAACTTTTCATTGGGAACCTATAAATTCCATTAGATCCAATTGGTAACCGGTGTTCCCAATATTTATGCACTTCCCACAGAACTGGGAAAGAGACTGGCAGAGCCCTGCCCATCCAGTACTCTCTGCCACATGCATGTCTTTTCCTATGTGGTACCCACAGGAAGCCAGTTAGATGGATTGGTTGTTCCTATCTCATAAAAATAATCAGGAGAGTTTTCATGCTCATTTTTTTGTTTTAGGCTTTTTACAGATTTTGGCAGGCATCACTTTGTTGATTCCACTTGATTTTCCAGCATGTGAAGTTTATCATTTTCTTGTTTTAAATGAAAATTTTAAATATGCTGTAATTTCAAGAGACTCTGGGTGAAATCCTGTAATGCTTTTGTGTAACCATCATTTTATTTTGTTCTACCTTTTCCTCTTTTTCTATCCTGAAATGTTTCTGCCCTGAAATATTTCTATCCTGAGTGTTGGAGGTTGGGCATACATCACAGATGAGGTGTGTGATCTTCACTTCTTTCGCATAAAGGGATGCTGGGCAGCTGTGGCATCCAGGGGTGCACAGCTCCTTTCCATCAAGCCCCTATGTCCTTTTCTGTGTCCCCATGTGTTACCTGAAGCTGGAGGAGTCATTTGAAATACAGACATAAAGAGTACATTTTCTATGGTAATTTATCAAGATTTTCTCCCTTTCATGGAGATGATTTAATTAATGTAATTCCCTCATTATTTAGAGTGAAATATCTGATTTGTGTAGAGTAGTAGTAACCTGGGACCAAAATGAGCACTTTTCATCAATATGAATGAGGGGCTTTATTTATTTACTTCCTTCTTTCTCACAGCTGTTGCAGCAATGCAATGAACCAACTTTTTACTTCATCTATGCTTTGTATGATTTTTCCTTGGATTTATCTGTACTTTTCAGGCTTTTCGATGTCTTTAATAGAAAAAAAATGTACAGTAGCCAAAGCCTTATGTTTCTAAGTAACCTTTTGGTACCAGATAGTAATGACTGCAGGCCCTGTATCCAAGTTTAATATTGTAGAGGCCAGTTTAAAGTAGGAACTATTTCAGTCCAGCACATAACAGTTGTGACACCTCCTGACACTCTAATAGCAGGTTTTTTAATATGGGTACGATTATTACAACAAATGCTGTAGGTCCCCTGAGTTAAATGCAATACCAAGAATTATTTCTCAGACACCTGTGTGTTTCTGCTATCATCCTGGATTATTAGAAGAATGTACTGCAGGCACTGACAACATCATGTATGTATTCAGTTTAGGGAGGCTTCTGAGTTGATGCGACAACTTTCTAACTGAGGTGCCTTTGTACTCTTTCTGTCACACCTAATGCATTGATAACTCAATTGACAGTGACCTGCAAGGATAGGATGCAACACTGGAACTCTGCTGATAAGAAAGTACTTGAGGGATGATAAATAGGGCAGTGCACATTAATAAATGCTACTTTTGGTGCACACAGAGCTTCTGTAGCTACATAATAAGAGCCATGTCCAGGGATGCTGATGCATGTAGCAAAACTGTTTCAAGAACTAGGAAGTCTGAGTGGTGGAAACAGCAATGAAAATGGTGTTATGCACAGCATTAGCACACAGAGATTGTCTTCTCCTGAACCATGCACTTTACCAGTGACAGGGATGCACTCTGAGTAGAAAATGCCCAATTCTTTACCTCAGTATAAACAGGCATCCTAGGGCATGCAGGATAGTGTCATATGTCCCTGGGCATCTCCCATCCTCCTTCAGAACTGGTAAATGACATTCACTACTCCTTTCTTGGAAATGTGCAAAAAGGATTTCCATAGAGAGTCTTTGGAGATTTCCTGTTTTCTCATGTGTGTAATAGATTGGGTCAAGCAACAAAGAAGAGGGATGAAAGAATAAGATTTAATTTTATATGCATTCTCCTGTCATCGCCATTGAAAAAAAATGGATGAAAAGAGAAATTTTGCAATACAGGTGATGTCAGTGTTAAATTAAATTAAGATCATAAGATTTTATGCAGCAGCTGTAAACCTCGTGGCAGGGTTCATAATAATAGATTCCAAGCTAATATTAACAAACTTCTCATGTGTGAATAATTAATCAGAAAAATAGCAGCATTGTCTACAGTACTTTAAGCCAACATGGATTAAATGTATAACCTGTAATTTATTCAGTTTTGGGGCATCTTAATTCTAATAAGATAAGTTGTGACAAATTAGAGAAAGAAAAATAATACTAAGTTGTATTTCAGCATATCATTCTAAAACAGTATGGATGCAAAGGACACCATCTAAAGTTTTTTAAGTTATTATTAATTTATGAGATTATCAGAAACTCATAAAAGCACAGGCTCTTAAAATCTTCTAAATCACAGATAAAGAAATTTATACTGCAAATCAGGGAGTACCTCTTCAGTTTTCTGCAAGTTGCCAAAATACAGAGATATAATTGCAAATTACATCATTTTGATTTGTAATTATTGAGTAGTTTCCAACAATTATAAATGATGATCAAAACCCTAGTCCCATCATGGCTAATTAGAGAACAGTTGCAGAAGTGGGAAGGCTTTAATTTTGCGTTCTGTCTAGGCAGAGAGATTAGGAGGGGAAAAAAGAGTAGAAATTCCTGTTGGGGTATTTACTGTTGTTATCTTCCTGCTTCACAGGTTTTGAACACCTCTGTAGAAATCTTCACAACCCTTTGTGATTCTGCTGGCCTGGGCAGAGCATATGCAGCTGTAGCCAAGATCCTGGCAAGGTAGGTTAGCACATCCTTGTCTGACTGTCAGTACAGATTCACTCAGCTGTGAAAGACTTAAATTGTTAGAGGTCTGTCGCTTTCCATTACTGACTGCTTAAATTTTAAGCAGTGCCCTTCTTGCAGTAAGTGACCCTTTCATCAAAAGTTATTTTAAACTGTTACATATTTTTTAAAGTGTATGTTTCTAGTTTTTCTTTGAATGTAAACTATAACATGTCCTTTTTCTTCCACATTTTGAGGGCTTTTTAAATGTTGGGGGTTTTTTGGGGGTTTTTTTGTTGTTTTTTTTGTTTGTTTTGTTTTTTTTTGTTTGTTTGTTTGTGGAGGACCTCACCTTACTGGAAAATAGAATCCTATTTTCCAGGTTAAGAAATTAAAAAAAAATCTGGAAGAATGTAGCAAGCTGCAGTAGGTGTCTCAGTGTAATATTTTCTGAACTGTAAGTTTCCATTTATTGCACTCACTTCTTCTGTGGAATCATTTCTGGTTTGTGTGTGTGAAACTAAGTAGTAATTTGTTGCAAATATGATGCTTATGTTCAATATTTTTATTTCAGCATCTGGCATTAAAATCTTCCTCCAGGTGGATTAGTTCAGGTACAAATAATTTTGACATAAAGTCACCTAATGAAATTGTCATATGAGACAGGGAAAAAAAGAGATTAAAGTGAAGTTGTATCTTATTCTTGACTTATCCTATAATTGAAGACCTCACTGCATATGATGCATGATAGAGCTTGGCAGTTGTTTATGGAGAGGGTCCTGTCACCTGGTTTATTTCAGTGTGCAGAGCAAATTCTCCTCTTTGAGTCAGATCCCTTCTCTCTTGGCCTCATCCAAGCACGTAGGGATCAGCCACAACCACAGTCTTCTTCAGCTCTGATGCATAATTCATGTCTACATGTATTCTGAGCATCCTAAATAAGGACATGGGAAAAGATATTCAAAAAGACACAAAACAAAGAATACCAGGTCCCAGTTTCAAAACTCTCTTAAAGCCTAACCAAGAAAGATTTAGTAGCTAAATCACCAGCTGTTACAGTGAGTGGCTTTGCAATGAGTACACAATTTTCTGAGCTCTCTGTAGCATTCATGAGCTCCTTGTATTCTCAAAAAGCAGCAGTCTGGATAGAGGCTTGGGTTGAGATAGTCAAGAGAACATCCCTGGTAAACCATGTGTGTTAATTTCCTTTCTGTGATTTAGGCATTCTGGAATGAGGGTACATGCATTTATTTACTCAGAAGTTTGAGATTTTGAGATCTTTTTGAAATTAGTTTGCTAAACCCTTCATCTGAAAGATCATGCCAATGAAATTCTTTTCTTAAAAGCAGAAATAAAGATGGAGTGGCTAGTGGTTTTCTTCTGTATCAAATCTGTATTCCACACCTTCTGGGAGCATTCTTGAGCTATCTAGGAATGGACAGTCCCACTGCTATCCAGTTGTTGCAATTTGAAAAAGAAGGAAAACAGGAGATGAGGAGCAGTGGGAGCAGATGCTAAGAGCAGTAAAACTCCTCAGTTTAAGGAATTCTCCTGGAGGAGGAATATTCTGATTAATTCAGGTGAAGGTGTAGTTCAATCTCATGTGTGTGATCATGGATTTAATCTTCTGAAGAATAGATGAGAGAATAGGTTGGGTCTTCTTGGTGAAGACCAACCATAAACCCTTTCTCTGGAAAATGGCTGTTGTTTTAATTTTGTAAAACCCATGTGGTAGTTATGCCATGAGAGCATTTACCAAATTAAACACCTTACATACATAGCTGCTCTGAAGGGCTTTGGGTATGTGATAGGCATTAACTGTTCAACCCTGTAAAATGTCATAATTGTTCTCAAACTTTCAGTTGTTTGAGAAACTTACATGTGGAAAAGTCTGGGCACCTATGAATCATAGAATTATAGAATCATAAAATTGTTTGGGTTGGAAAAGATCTATACAGGTCAGCTAGTCCACCACCAGCAGTGAGTAGGGACATCTTCAACTACATCAAGTTGCTCAAAGCTCCATTCTGGCTGGCCTTGAATATTTCTAGGGATGGGGCACCAACCTACCACTCTGGGCAAACCCCTTCCAGTGTTTTGCCACTCTCATTGTAAAACATTTCTTCCATACATCTAATCTAAATCAACACTCCTTCAGTTTAGAGCCCTTGCCCCTTGTCCTGTTGCAGCAGGCCCAACATTTGCTCAACAATTTGTCCACGTCTTTATTATAAACTCACATGAGATACTGTAAGGTCTCCCTGGCAACTTCCCCAGGCTGAACAACCCCAGCTCTCTCAGCCTGTCCTCATAGGAGAGGTTCTCCAGCCCTCAGAGCATCTTGGTGGTCTCCTCTGCATCCAACAGGTCCATATCCATTCTGTGATGAGGATGCCAGAGCTGGACGCAGAACACTTTGGATAAATGCAGCAATAATTACTGCTGGTGACAGAATCCCCATATTCAGCTGACATGCTCAGTTTTTCTTTACTTGTATTTTTACCTGGTCTAGGCTAGATTTTTGTAAATAATTTTAAATTTGATGAATAACATCTTCACGGGAAGATGACTGTTTCCCAAAAACAATGCATTACAACCATAATGTCTGTGAGAATTTGCACTTATTGCCTCATGACAGATTGGAGAAAGTTCCTGAGCCCCCCTGAATGGCTCATAACCTGTCTATGGCTTTGGAATATTTTGTGAAATCTTTGCTGCAGATGTTTTCAGAGACTATGGGAAACTGAAAATCTTTATCATGTGCATTTAGTCATGTCATTTTCCAGGGGAAAGAATCTGACATAATAGCATCATGTTCTTGACTTATTCTGCCAGTGTCCACCATGGTAATGATTTCTTGTGGACACATGATTTATACATCCAATTCCATCACATGAGCAATCCTATAAAAGGTGCATATTTTCATAAAAGTCTAATAGGAGTAAAAATCTCATAGGGCATTTTAGCATGAAACTGGAAAACTAGTTGCTGTGGATGTGTAATCTCTTCTGCTGAAGTCATCATAACTGTTCTGTGGGATCATGAATGACTATATCTTTAGGAAATTGCATTTTATGCATTTAGGAAGGTGATGTCTAAGGAGATAGAAAGTATATGGCTGTATAAAATAACATGTAGATTTTTGAAGGAACTATAAAATATTAGCCCTTTGAGTAGGAAAGACCTGTTTATCATGTTATCAGGTCTTGTGCGAGATAAAGTGTTTCAGTAATCTTTCTAGCACTAGCATACTTTAAATATCTCGAGCTGTAGTGCTTTTAAAAGTACTTCCTTTGAAAAATTGTTAAACTGTACCAACCCATTTCTAGCTGGCATAAGTGAAGTCCTAACAGTGAGAAATATCTGTCTGATATGTATCAAATTGATTCCTGTTTTCCTCAAAGAGGTTATATGCCCTAGCAATTTTCATATTTTCTATATGTGGAACAGAAGTTTTGATGTGAAAAGTAAAAAATGGCCAAAAATACATCAAAACATTTCTATTAATTCATGAAATTAAGAAAACCTTTTTACATTTCTCCTGTCACTGATTCCATTTGCTTTATTACTTTCAGCCTCTAGCCCACAAACTTGGTGGTACAATCAACAAACCCCTTAGTGGCTGTTTCATCTCTGCTCTATTTGATTTCTTCACTCTGAGTAAATGATTAAGTTTTCATGCATTGGTTCAACCAAAATCTATGTTCACTCAACCACATCCTTTATTGATTACTTCTACTGCAAACAGTAGGCCAAGTGTGATATACATAATTGGACAGTTGTCAGGGGATGTGGGTGTTAACAGTCCTGTTTTCCCAATTGGAAACTGGAATCACCTTGATACACAAATATTCTGCACTGTTTCATTCTCATTCCTTGGACCAAGGAGTCCTTTTCCTCAGAATATATGTTTTTAACTCTCAAAGGTCTGGTTGAATGGATTTAATGATTATACCATATAATATGCTCTTCAAGTTGCACCTGTGCACTGCATATAGAAAACTAGAAAAACTGGAATTAATATTTGTCTAACACTTTAACCTTGTCCTTTAACTTATATAAATCATATGCTGTATTTCTGTAGGGAAACATTTGATTTTCTTTTCTCTGAAAAAAAAAACAACCAAAAAAAACAGGTTAAAAAAATGTGTTTCTAATTCTAAAATTTAGAAGCCTTTTGACATTTGGTAAATGATTACAGTCCAGTATGTTTTGTATTCTCATGGTAATAAAATATTTAACTTAGGAAAGTTTAGTAAACCCAAGTCTGCTAATTGACCTCTAAGCTTTACAGTAGCATATACTTGAGCATTTCAAAAATATTAGTTTGCAGTGATTTAGCATCCTTTTGTAGTAATCTTGCCCTCTAAGTCACATAGAGATAATCACTGCAATATTTTAAATTTGCAGCTAAGCTTTGCTGTGTTTCCTGTTTCATGGCAGGCTGTTATAATTACTCCAACAGCATAAAAGAGGAAAATGCAGAGTTTTGCCAGATTTTGAAAGCATATATCCCTAATATAATTAAAAATAAAAACTGTATTGTAAATAAATGCCAGGCCATCATTTGCTGCGGGAATGTAGCTTGAAGGTAGTTTAAGATGGTGAGAAAATAAATCACAATTCTTTATCGCTTACAGAAACTCCTATTTTTGTGAATTTCTTAATTAAGACTGGATTTTCTGTCTTGCTTGGTGCCTTGACATTTAGCATGTTACTCTCCTACATTAGTGATTCAAGTTCATGGCTAATATTGAGGTCAGCTGGAATAACACTCTGGCCTTAAAGGAAAAAAGAGCACCGAGCCTTATTCACAAGCAAGCTCAGATGTCTGTCTTATATCTTGCAAGCACACTGCTGAGGTCTTATATTGTTAGTATGACTGGCTTTATTAAAAATAAAAAAGGAAATCTGCAAATGTTATTGTCAAAGTACGTCAGCCAATTTTCAAGTTAGATGCAGCTGTGACCTCAGCTTGCTCTGAGCTCACTGGGATTTGGGGGCGGCACCTGCAATCCACAGTTTATAGGTTTGCCTGTGTGACCCTGGCCACCTTTGATCCACCCAGCCAAAGGGCAGTATTGTGTTTCAGGGAAAGGCTGTCACCCCAGAACTGACACAGAACAGCACTTTTATGGAGCTGCTGCTTCATCACCAGGTTCTAGAGCAGCTCTGAATGACAGAAAGCCTTACTGAAAAAAACGCCTTCATACCTCCTTCCCTTGTTTTGTCAGGATGTGAGGTCCAGCTGAATTGAAAATACTATCAGCAGCTCAGAATTAAAAAAATAAAATAATGGAAGGTCCAAAAGCCCTGTTAAATCATCCACCTGTGTTTTCATTCTTGGCCTTAAGATATGGCAAAATATTCTGAAAGAAAGTTTTGTTCTATTTTGCTGAAAGGATCCAGTTTTGCCCTCAGACATTCTGTGTGGAGTAGTCTCACTGGGCTCAGCACAGGTAGTGCTGGAGGCCATTTGGAAATAAAATCCAGTCATTGATGAGTCATCACAAAGTAAAGTTGCTTCAGAATAAGGGGGCAGATCTTCAGCATTTGAAGAAGCCATCTGAGTAAATATTTCATTTTGTCCCTGTCCTTTGCTTCAGTCAGGGAAAATCAAATGAGGCTGTGAAGTACTTGGGAGAGTTTATAAAGGATGCTGAGAGTGCTAATCTAAGCCAAAGCCTGGTGGATGCAAATGTCCTACTTGGAAAAGTTCACAATGAAAGAGTAAGTACTGTTTGTAGTAATGATCTCAAACAACTTGATTTACTTCTTGGTAAAATCTGATTTTGCCTATGAGATAACACAGGAGGATTTGGTCCAGGTGTTGCATCTTGCAGGAGTTACCCAAGGAGAAGTCACTGCATGACTAAATGAAACGTGTCTTAATTTTCTGAGAAAGGTAAAAATTTCACATCATATTTAACACATGGAGTTTTGTTATAAAACAGATGAATAAAAAACTCCAAATTCATATCAGGATAAACTTTACATGTTGTGAAAAATGTGCATCCAGATCATCATTGGGGCCATATATGCCCATAAAGAGTCATCGGTTAATGCAAATGAAATTTTATTGCACTATACATGAATGTATACTGTATTGCATACTAATGGGCTGTTTATAATCTTAGCTACATTTCTTCTCTACATTCTCTCAGCCAAATTTATTAAATGGATTCTAGCAGCAAGTAATTTGTCAATGGTCTGTTAGCATTGGAAGGACTTTCTCTTGTCTCTGCTTGCACTGCAGTGACACTTGGGTTTTGAAATCAAAGCTGTTAAAGACATTGCTGCAAATGTGAAAGATTCATGCTTTAACACCTATTTTAGAGCTGAATTGCTGTACAAAATTATTTAGATACAATAAGTAATAAAAATAATTTGTTCTGTATGCTGGATAATATGGAACTTAGGAAATACTTTCTCTACAAATAAAATAAAAATAGAAATACCTTTCTATCTTCTGTTGCATATTTTTTTGTCATAAGTTCTGTGTGTAATATGCTGAACAGAGTCCTTTCTCCTTTTTGCTTACACTATCCCTAAATACCTTTTTTTTTTTCCCCTGGGTTCCTCTTACAGAGAACTCCCACTACCAAAATTCCTGTTCTGTTTGTCTTGTTTTTATTTCATAAGCAGTAGTAATTTTTTTTACTCTGTAATCTCTAAAGTAACCTGAGAGTCTTCTGTTTACAGATATTTTTAATATAAATGCCAACTTTCCCATTGAAAACTAAGTTTTAAGGTCTTTGACAACTTGATGAAGTAACTGTAAAATGGGTCTGAAACTTAGAAGGGTCATATGACACTGTGCTGAATTATTCTTCTCCAAATCTGAAAAATAATTAAATAATTTCTGTTTAACTACTTCTGTATTCCACTCCTTCTTCCACCGTTACTAATAATCAATTCAATAGAACTGGTGTTTTAATAACTATCCTCTATTTGATTATTCTTCAGATACTCTTTCTCAGTTCAGAATTTTCTGCCTTGAGCTAAGGCAGTGGTGGTAGAAGGGCACAATTGCAGTAACTTAATCTTATTAATGTATATAAAATATTTAGTTTAAACATGAATTTTAAAGTCTTGAAGTTTGCAATTCCCTGCTTTCTATACCATTTTTTTTCTGCAAGGTCAGTTGTGTTTACCAAAACTGAGTGTGAATTAACATTTCCTCTTTTGGATCACTGCCTGGTGGTGTCAGCTGTCATCACCAGTATTTTCTAAGTTAAGTCATTATTAGGGTCTTTTTATTCAACTCTGTATATCCCCCAGTGATGCAGTAGTACTGTCCATCAAATTATAGATATTTCTGTTTATATCCAGATCTATCCATGGGGACCTTTAGTAAACCAGGGATATAACTCTTCCTGTTCTTCCAAACACAAATCACTTTGACCAAATTCACTTTACTCTGTCCATACTGTTGCTGTATCTTTCCAGTTCTCATCTCACTATTCTGTCACCAGTACTGTCTTTTTTTAATGCTATACACAAAGTGTGCTTTCTAGTCACAATTGTTTTACCCAGATGTTTCTTGTTTCCTAAAATGCCTGGGTAGGTGTTATGCAGGAGTAGTACATTTCATTTCCCCCAGTTCGATAAGCAGGTTGCTTACTTAATATGTACACTCTGAAGTTTGTGTGATACACTCTGTCATTTCTCATTGCATTTTTTCTGATTTGCTACATTCCTCTCACTATTTGCATCACTTAAGCTGCTATAGTTCTCATGAGTCTGGTAAGTAGGTGTTTCTGCTTTTTATTATATTATAGCTTATCATTCTTTATTCACTGTCATGTCCTCATAAGCCTAATTCTGTTCTTCTGCTGTATTAAACAAAGCTGAAAGGCTACCAGAATTGCTCTGACTCTTTTTTTCCTTTTTTAATTGTAAGCATATTTTAGCAGTTATTATTTTCATCCCAAGAAGTGGTATTAAGTGAAACAGGTACCAGTTGGAGTCTCTCCTCCCAGTCTTCATACAGAAGGGAATTTAAATCAAGGTGAGCGTGAGAGGATAAGACATCTCAGAAAATGTTTTCAGTCAGGAAGTTTCTGCCATCAGAGCAGCAGAATTCCACACCAGTGGTAGGATAGAGAGATAAATTATTTCAGTTTTCTATTCAGCAACGGTTGGGCTACATTTCTCCTACTGTTTCTCTTTTTGTGATTAGGAATATCCCTAGGGTTTTGTATGCCCCTTTCTTCCCCCATAAATGAGTAAGTTTTAATTTCTGTTCTTTTCTGTGCTTTAAGTCTATTCCTTCATTATCCTCTGTTTTTCCATTTTTAGGATTTATTTTTTAAGATTTAATACTACCATAAATTAGTAACTTTTCTCCCAGATATGTTGATATGTTGAATGCAAGGAAACAATAATTTCTAAATAGCCTGGCTGTAATCTTTATTAATACTTAGCATTGATACACTTGGATTTGTTTACTCAAAATGCTACAGAAATAACTAAAAACCATTCAATTCAAAGATATGAGCAGTGTTACCTGGATTTTAGAGGTTAGAAAACAGCAAGGGAGAGTGATTTGCTTAATGCCCTGCCATGAGTCACTCCATGGGCTGCCACATCTCTGAGGCATCAGAGGAGCTCTGATGTCAAGACAAAATACAGATGATGACTACAAGTAGCTTTTAACATTATTTTCTTTTTTTTTTTATTTTTTTTCTTCTTTACTAGGGGAACTATAACACAGCTCTGGAATATTTCAGTCAGGCCTCTGAGGCGGCGAAAGCTTTGAACGATTTGCCCTTGGTGGCTGAAACAGAGAGTTACTGTGGCATCGCCAAGGCTCATCAGCTGATGGTGGCGTTCAACAGCCACGTAGCAGCAGCAGCCGATCCCCTCAGCCTGCAGTGCCTGCTGGCATGGAAGCAAAACAGAAGTGACATGTGCACTGACCCTCTTCCAGCCGGTAAGGCAGTGCTTATGAAACACATTAGTGCTGCATTGTCCTCAACACTTAAGTCATTTTTCTTGTAGAGTTTTATTAAATTATTTCCTGGGTTTAATCCTTGTACGGAACGGAGGTTGGGCTTTACTCCTTTGTGCACTTGTTTTTGAGGCTGAATTAAACAAGTTAAAATATGATATAACAGGGAGAAATTGATAGTAGTAATTGCTCTGGGTGGTAGCTTAGATTTTTTCAGTGCTGTTTGTCAGAACACCACAGTTACATGTTTTAGTCAAAACATAATTGTTTTAATCTTTGAAGAAAATAATAATAATCTCCATTTGTGGTGCACTTTCCAAGTACATCCAAAAATAAGATCCCTGTTGCTAAAAGTGGGAAGTAATTTCTGCTTGACATAGTTCTGGATCCAGAAAAACACTGCTTTATTTTTGGTATCCTTGTGCTTGACATTAGAGAGAAAGGAAAAAAATAAAAGCAAGTCTGCTTACTTTACAGAAAGAGCAGAGGAGGACTTTTTGTGGAGTAGTCCGCTCTTTCTTAATGGGTTAAATTTTCTTTGCTCTTTTTCCCTTGTACAATACATTAATACAAGACAAACTGAATAATGCATTATCTCCAAGTACTGATAGTAGTAACCTGTGTTGTACTGAGGAAGGGGAAGGTATACATCTACTCTACCTTAAAACTTTCTGCTCTGCATTCCTGTGAAGAGTGTGAATCTGGACTGCAGTGGAAATAAATGACAACTGGAGCAGTCACAATATGGAGCTTCAAGGTTATGTTGTTTTTCCCTCAGTTATCCTACTCCTAAAGACAAAGAACTGCCTGGCTACTGCTTTCTTGTGAATCTCATCCTCTCTTAGAAGTGGAAAATTAAGTGTAACTACAGTAGTGAATTTTATATACAAAATAAGTGGTAATTGAAGATATTAGCAGTTTAAGAGAAGCCAGGATGCCAGAGGCAACACTGGTCGCTACTGAGAATTATGGAACAAGGGCATTCATTTGAAGGCTGAAGAGATAAATTTGATAGCATTTGGTTTAAAGTTCTAGTGATGGTAACACTTCTTCAATGGTTATACATATCTATATTTGTGATTTGTGTCTCAATAAGTGAACGTCTAGCACACTGACAGATTTTGTTGGCTGTCAGAGTTATTTGGGTGTATGTCTCCTGTCTAGACCTGTAGTGCAAATGCTGAGAATTCCAACAGAGATGGTCAAAAAAAGAATTTGTAAAAGAATTTCATATACTTTTCATATAAGAATCACTAACTGTAGCTCATAAAAATGGGAGGCAAACAAAAGTCAACAAGGGCAACAGCAAAACAAAAAACAAAAAAAAAAAAAAAAAAAAAAAAAAAAAAAAAA